TTTTTTTTTTTTTTTGGAAGGAACCACATGTTTAAATTCAGAACTACAAATAGATTGTAAGATCAATGCTCTAAAACGATATGTCGTTGAATTATAGACAGAAAAAGGGACGGTCCTTTTCTGAAAGAAAGGACAAGAAACTTTAAAAAACGACATAAAATGCCATACGACAAAGAAAATTGTCGTTTGCTTATCCTAAACGGAATTTTTTGGTATTTTACACATTTGCCCCTTGAACTTATATGGTTTTAGCAACTTGTCTATGAACTTCTAATTTTGACAAGTTACTCCCTTTACTTGTAAAATTATTACAATATGCCTCGTTTTGACATTGATTGTGTTAAATTAGTATTTGAAAAAGAAACATTCCAATTGAAATGTAACACAAAAAGTCTTTCAATTTCTCAACTTTTAATTCCTTAAATTTAATAAAAAATTTGAGCAAATTTAATAAAATGGGACACATTGCAATAATTTTATAAGTTCAGTTGTTGATTGTAAAAATCAAAAATTTAGGGGGCAATTTGTTAAACCGCATTTAGGGGGCAATTGTACTAAAAATCTTTTTTTTTTTAAGGAACAACATGTTTAAATTTTGGAACGACAAATAAATTGTAAGATATATGCTCCAAAATGATATGTCGTTTAGTTGCAGATCAAAAGGGGAACGAAGTCGTTTTCTGAAAGCAACGACAAGAACTTCATTAAACGACATCAAACGCTATACGACAATTCCTAAACGATATCACATTTCAATATAAACAATTATGATAAATTATAGCTTGTAAACAAAAACAAAACAAAAAAAGGAGAGTACTTCGGTGAACAAATTTTTATATTTCCATGACTCTGCCTTGTTCTTGTCGGCATTTATATAATTACTAAAGTAACAAGGTACGTTGTATGAACAAGGGATTTTAAATTTAGCACCAAATATAAGACCATTCCTTAAACAAATTTTATTACCAATATGAAAGTGGCATAATTGACATGTTATTCTAATTTGTGCTCTAATAGATGCAACATAATGTTATTGCTGATTAACTTCAGGAACGTGACGTACGATCTTCATCGAACACATTAATTTGCCATATTCCGTTTTCACCAAACATTACGATTTGGCACAACTAGCTGTAAATTAAGCTTCTTACACTGAAATCCAAAAAAACAGATCATGAAAGCAAACTTATCTTTACATTTCCGATAATAATCATCCAGTATCCAAACATGCTAAAATAAGAATAGCAAAAATTTAGTTGTTGTATATCTACAAAAAAAAACAAAAAAAAACTAAATAAATGAATGAATATGATTAACAGGTCTTCGTCTTGCATCTGCACAAACATCGTCTTGCATCTGCACAAACAATCACTCTTGATACTGCTAAACCGACATTTTGGGAAACTTGTAGTCAGTTGAAATTGAAGACGCATTTTTCTCAACGGAAATCGTCTTAATTAGGCGTAGAATAATCTTCTCAAGCTCTTCACCATCATTCCATCCATGGATTTCAGCCTTAAAAAGTAATGGATTATCGGTAATTAAGTCCCACATTGGGAAGTTCTTCCTCGGCAAGATGAAATCTTCTTCTTTGAGCTTCAAGCTTGGGCAGTAATCAACAATGTCATGGCCGAGATAGATAATCCTTTTGTCCTCCTCGGCTGCTGCTGAAGTAATTTGGATCCTTTCTAAAATCACCCCCTATATGTCAAGGTATTATATATAATTAGTCAATCAATAAAAAAAAAAAAAAATGGTAGAAACAATATTATTCAATACAAATGCTGAAATCGTCGTGTCGAAAGATATAAATTTTTCAAAGAATCTTGGTGCCTTAATTCCTAGCACTTAAGAGCAACTTGAAATTTAGTGTTATTTTATTTTTTGCTAACAACATGTGATCAGTTTACTTTCATGATAAGGGACTTAAATTTTTTTAAAAATTAAGTTGGTACCCACTAACAGTAAATTCATCATTAGATAATATTGATAAGAAAAGAAAATTACAATAATGTGATCAAAAGATATTAGTGCTAAAAGAATATATTAGATTATATTAATGTTATACAAATTACAATGCACATGTTTGCAGGGCAAAGGCCGGTACAGCCATGAGAGCAGTTGTTGAAATCATGGAAAGGGAATATCCTCAGCTTTCCTTCTTCATCAACAAAGCTTGGATTAGTGTGGATCTCTGTAAAGCAACCCCTCAGCCCAAGATGCTCTAAAACCGTCTCGACGAAGAACAGATTTGCATCACTGACAATCCTCAATTCACAACTAATAATAATAATAAGAATAATATACCCTAGACCATGGGCGGAGGAACAACTCTTGGAAGTATAGGAGCCCGTTTTAGGACCTCCACTATGTCATCAATGGTGTTTCCTTGTTCATGAAGCTCCTTCATCATCCTATCCTGGAAAATTTTTCATCAAAATATCAGGATCATCATATGTGTACGTTATATTGTTTGTTATAAAACATGAAGGAAAAAAAAAAAAAGAAATAAATCGCACGGAATCATGAATTGCTTTTAGTTTACACTTAATTAGACATTGAAAACCAAACTCCAGAAAACTTGTATATAAGAAGCGTTTTAACATAAAAAGAGAGATTAATGACAGAGCATGAGTTCCGTGGCATGGTGCAGGAAAAGAGTTGATTGAAGATAGTGGGTCCCACCCAGCTCATCGATGACAGTTGTCGCTCTTGCATTCGATGATGGTCCTGTCGAAGTCAAAAACGACAATAAAATGACTAGTGTCCCTGGAATACTACGGGGTTGTTCTTTTATCGTTTTTGAGTTAGGTGACTTGAGTGTAAATTTTAAGTTGAGTTTGAATTATAACTTGAGTTGAAGTTGTAACTTGAGTTTGTGTTTGGTTGTGTATATTTGAGTTATGGTTTGAGATAAGAATCTTTTTGAGTTTGTCTTTGAGTGAGTCAAAACTTGAATTTGTATTTAGATAGTATTTTAATAAAAACTCAATGTTGCTGAAAAATTTTAATAGGGTATATGGATGGTATTTTATTCGTCTTTTCGTTGTCAACGCATAGAAAAAAAATCATCTCAATCAGAATTAAAACGAAAAAATTATAGCATTTTTAATAATAGAAAAAATATTGTTCATTAATTTGAGTTCGAGTTTCTGAACTCGAGTTGAAGAGAAAACTTGAACTCAAGTTTTAGTCTCAAACTCGAGTTCAAACTT